GCATGGTCATTTCTATAGCTCCAAGTCAGCTCTAACCCTCAGAGTCTTGTGAAGAGTTTGGGTAAGAAAGCCACAAACAAATTTCTTGTGTTATTTTCTGTCTGTCTTCTCAAAGCAATTCTATGCCAATTTAACTGGACAAACGTAAAGAAAGGTATTTCCCCTTCTCCCATTCCAGTGACCTTCAGTTAAAATTAAACCTGGTTACACTGCTGCAAATATCTTCTCTGTAGAAGTGAAATGAGGAAAATGGATTATTTAATAATTAGAATTGATGGTAGCCCATCAAGAGAAATTGTAAGATGCCATGGTGTATTGGGTTTGTGTGGCAAGGCTTTGGCAGTGGCAGAGCTACAGGAGTGCCTTCTCTGAGGAGGTGTCAAAACTTCCCCCGTGTCCAACGGAACCAATGGCAGTTTACACAAATTAGGCCTCCCAACAAGGTGTTAAAGTGCCTTATAAAAAGAGAGGCCCAAGATTTCAATGGATTAAACATTGCTTCACTCAGTCTTGCTCAAGCTCTCATTCTGAAAACTGAACTGTGCCATTTACGTCAGTTCAGCTGCGCAACACCAGGTACAGCAACCTGTTTTTATAAAATCACATCTTTGTGACTAATGGCCATCTATCAAAACAAAATGCTCACTTCCACTGATAAGTGTATTGCAGGAAGACAAATAGCAGTGTATTTGTTGGCAAATAACATTTCCCAACTTGAGGAAACAGCTGGGAAAGACGATTGTCAGACAGGTTTGAGAAGCACAGAACACACAGGAGTAGCAAGAAAGGTGAGGAAACATGACCTCAACTCCACCCAAACCACAGGCCACCCACATTAATTCTCCATTACTTATGGATGAAATAGGGATTAACTCTTCCCAGCTTATTTCTGTTTTCCTGCCATGCCTGAAAGCAGTGACTTGTGGCTGCAGCTTCTGCACAGGCTCAGGAAATTCCCAGTCAAACCCTCTGTATGTGTCTCACCTGAACCTTGGGAGAACTCCAAGAACACAGTAGTTGAAGTGTGCTGCAAAAAAGGGCCATATCCATACCTGGACACATAGTGAATAGAAGATCAAGGAAAGAGAACAATCCCCAAAGCAACAGCCAGTGAAACAGCTGAAAAAAACTCACTCTTTCTCTCCATCTCACACACACAGAGCAAAATAAAGGAATGAAAAGGTGCTAGTGAAATGAAAGGATAGAAATGGAAAAGGGTAAAGAGCAAGAATGTAGAAATTTAAAAGTAAAGATAAATAATGGAAAAAAAACCAAAAAACCCAAACCAAACCAAACAAACAAAAAAACCAACCAAACAAAAAACCACCAAAAAAACCAAATACAAAAACAAAAAAACCCTGCCCCCAACCTGTCAAAAAGAGTTTTGGGAAGCTTAGCTTGGAAGAAAATCTGAGTAAGAAGGCAAAACTTCAACTTATGAGCCCCAGAGGGATGTCACAGTATTCTGTTAGTTTTCCATCAGAGATGTAAAAAAACCTGAGAGTGCAATATTTATTGGTATCCCAATGTCATGCCACTGCTGGTATATATATGAATAACTGAAACCAGACCTATACATCTTTCTCTCTCCAATTCTTTCCAGCTGCTTCTCTAAGTGTACTGTCACAATCCCTGGAGCAAGAGGTTTGCTGTTATGCCTTTGATAGCACTCACATATTTCTTTTCCAATTTTTATTTTGTAATGCTATGTTGAGAAAGCTATCATTCTATGTAGTCATAAAAGAGAGTTGAACATGGTAAATAGATGGCCCCTTCAGTGTCAAAACTTTTGCAAAAATTGCTATTATTTTTGGTTTGGATTTTTGAAAGTAAAACCTTTTACAAAAATCTTGTACTGCACTCATCATTGGCCTCTTTTACCACACAGCAGCCTTAAGCAATCTGCAGTCAAAAAGAATAATTTGCACTAACTTTCCATGAGCCATTTATGGATTCCACCTGAACTGAAGTCATTATTAAATCAGCACAGAGCTACTCTGTACGTAAATTAAATGATGATGTCCTTTTTTAAGCCTACAGCACACAGGATAAAATACCTTAATTATTCACAGTTTTTCCTCTGGTTACTTTTCTTTTTATTTTCCTTCTCACTCTTTCTTGAGTCTATCGCCAAGAACTCAGTGTTTTTGAAAAAAAATTTCAGTATTGCAACGTTTGTGTATGTGCACTTTTAGAAGTGATTCCTGATATTCTGTGCTCAGGTGGGAGGAAATGAGTGATAGGGATATTAAGGGCTCTTCAAGGTATCCAAGTAATTTTGAAAAATGTAAGCCAACCACAACTAGTTGACAAGGACTTAGCACCCATGTAGTTCATATTACAGGCTCTTCGAAATGATCTTCCATCCCTTTCAAGTCACAAGGTCCCCATTCATTTAAGCTGTGCAGGATCAATCCCATTAGGCCAGAACATATGCCAAAAGACTGCCAGAAACTAATAGCCAGGACATTTGACAGTAACACAGTTCCCTGGAGGAATATGGGGGTTTACCTGACATGAATAAGAGTTATGTCTTCAGAGAAGGCTTTTCTGATAAAGCCTCTGATGTATCAACTACAATCACTGTGACTTTTAGGTCTAAACAAGAGACTCTCATGCACATTTGCACCTTCCCACAGCTATTCCACACAATGCCAACATCCTGTTCTATTCCATATTGCCAAATTGCTTTTCATAAGCTAGGGTGGGGCTAATTTAGCAAACTGTCCATCAGAAAGGCTTTGCAGAGTAAGGAGAAGTGACATTTTATATAAAGTGATATTTCAAACATGTCTTCATGAAAAATGTCAAAGAAAAAATGTTCTAAAGAAAACGGACAAGTTTGTAAAAAAAAACCCATTTTTAATGGCACACGGTGGCCAACAGCAACAACAGTGGCTGAGGCTGGGACACTGCTGCAGAGCAGAGACTGCTTCTCTGCTAACGACTGTAAGCCTACGATGAACGCAAATTTGAGTGAGGAATTTGAGACTATTATTAGCTTTCATCAGTCCCTCTGTGGCTTATTCACGGAATCTGGACAGATCCCAGAAGCACTGCTTCTCAGCCCTCATTAGGCTTTGCAAAATGAGCCTCCCGTACTTGGAAATACCTACTTGGCACGGATTCTCTCTTCTCTCTCGTCTTTCAGTGGGTGTTTTTTTTTGCAATATTCAGGGTTCATACTGGGCCAGACCTTTTTTCAGGAGAAGGGCTGAACCACACTCACAGCTTGTAACAGTAAAGGGAAGGCTGCTCGTGTCATTATTTCTTGCAGCTGCATACATACATCAACTAAAAACCTCTGCATAAAATGATGTTTGCATTCAAACATCAGGAAAAAAAACTCGTCAGGACTACCTTTGTCACTGTGTGCCCTCGCTCTCTTTGATACACATACTGCATCAGGCTCACTCACTTTCAAAAACAGAGAATCAGTGACCTGTGAAAATGTTCCTGATCTTTCAAACATGAGCTCTGTTCCCTCAGCCTCTAATCAAACAGAAAGATCATTTATGTAATGAACCATCCACAAAAGGCTTTTATTTAGAACACACAAACGTGTGTCGCTTTCTGCTCCTAACAGACAGCACAGCAGCACAAAAGCAAATTCATGTGGATGAGCTGGCAAATAAATAGACTTTTAACAGAGTAGTCCAATGTTAAATTCACTTGAACTAGGCAGACAGGAGTTAAGTTTGAGATGCTCAGTCTCCTGACTGGAAAGCTCAGGAGGAGATCAGCCAGAGGTGACTTGTGTGAACAATATAGCATCCAAAAATAATTGGTTTGCCTGCTAGAGAAACAGACCTACCAAAGTCATGAACACTTTCTGTTTTGAAGAATGGGTATCAGTAGTGCCAGCTGACAACCTTCTTTTGGTTGGATTCTGACTTGTTGCCTTCAAGTGTTTCATGGACCTTTAAAGTAATTCCAAATTTTTCTAACTCTTCACATTTAGTTCACCAAATTTTTCAACTTCAGAGAGATATATTTGATATTTATAGTCACTAAAATTGCAAGGTGATTTCAACAGACACAGTTCTTTTCTGTCTCATTCTTCATGCTTCTCTGACACAATTTCTACCCCCAATTCCACAATTGTATTTTTTTTCCTTCATTTAGACTAATTAAAGAAGTATCTTTGGTCCCATGGGGTGCTCATAATAGTAGCTTTTTTGCCTAAAGTACCAGTAAACAAAGAAAAAAATCAGATCAGTTAATTGACTTTACCAAAAAGAATTCTGATCTTTAAATATTCATATATGAGTTTTTTGTGAGTTTTTTTCCATGTAGTAAGTTTTTTTCCCCTCCGAATTTTAAATGAGCTAGTTACCAAAAATTTGTAAGCAGATTTTGGTGTATTTTTGTGTATATAAAGGCCAGAAAAACAAAAAAACTCTGATGTTAATGGGAGATTCAGTTGGCATTGAATATAACCACAACCAAGGTTTAGAGTTCTGCCTCATAGATGTTTTACAAAACTGACAAAGCCTTCCAAATGCTTCATAGAAAATATTCAAAATAAAGCAGTAGTATGTCATGTGTGCAATTTTTTGTTCTTTGAAAAACCAGCAATAATTCATTCAGTTAGCATCTTTAAAAACATACAATTAGGGTCTCTTTTCAGTAGTATTCTGTTCATTATTGCAAAAATGAAAATGAATCATGACAAGTGGACTCAAAAGACTATAAATATTACTGTTAATTTGGGGATATTCCACTTTTCTGGTGGCAAGAACTAAGAGTTGGGAATTTGCTATGTCTCAATGGAAAATTTTATATTAAACAGATATCATTAGGCAGTACCAAGAAAACCGCTTGTTCTCAACATACTTTCCTTTCCATAAACCAGAGAGCCAGAATTTTTGCCCAGAAAAAGAAAGAGGAATCAATGAATTTCATATAAACCACCAAATGTTTTTGGTCAGACCTCAATTATTTTCAAAAGCTTCATGGGGTGGTAGTAGTTCTGTTTCGAATTAGGGAGATGTCCAAGCGGCACACATCAGATCGGGATCTGACTTCCTCAGAACACAGGGATGCTGCGATCCCAGGCTGATTCAGTTTACTGTAGAAATAAAAAGCATATGCATAGATTTAACATGAACACAACCAAGGAACGCAGGTGTTTGCTTTGGAGCTTCATCTGCACTATTTCCTAGACAATGTCTAATTTGCCTGTTTCGAAACCACTGACTGGGCAAAGGCTGGCTTGCCCAGAAACAGTTTCTTCTTTTCTGTGAAGCCTAGATTTTACACAACATATCTGGAATCAGCTAGTTCCCAGTGTTTAAACTTGCTGCTACTCCCAGAAAAATTGTATTTCTCATTATTCTGTGATGTTGAATCGCTAGTCTACAGCTGAACTCATCCATCAATCTATAAATCTTAGATTTTAATATGAAGACCCAGCTGTACTGCCACTGAAAGCCATGTTGTAACTCTCATTGATGGACACTGCTCATTACCAAGGAATACAATGTATTTATAGCAGACATGCTTTAGAGCATTTGGAGCTTTGTACACATGCATTTATATACTGCATAGCATTAATTTCTTAGCAGTAGTAGACATGAGTCTAAATACTGCCATGACCAAAGCCACAATAATCAGTAATAATGATGATAATGATGAAATAATCACCAACATAAAACTTAATTCAGGAGGTAATGGTTATAGAATTTTCACAAGGAGACCATGAAAAATTCAAGTACACACCGATACATGGAAAACAATGTGTTTGTAGCATTGGCCAAATATTCTGTATTCAAGCTGTCTTTAGTTTTGGCCAAATCAATAACATGGTTCCTTACTGAATGAGCATGCTAAAATGTTTCCTGTAAACCTTCTACAGGTAACATAATCATAGAATGATAGGATCATAGAATCATTTAGTTTGGAAATACTTTTAAGACCATGAAATCCAACTATTGACCCAACACACCAAGTCCACCACTAAACCATATCCCTAAACACCACATCTCTATGGGTCTTTTAAATACTTCCGGATATGGTGACTCCACCACTTCCCTGGGCAGCCTGTTCCAATGTTTGATAAACCTTTTGGTGAAGAAATTTTTCCTGATATCCAATCTAAACCTCCCCTGGCACAATTTGAGGCCATTTCCTCTTGTCCTGTCGCTTGTTACCTGGGAGTAGAGCATGACCCCCACCTGGATACAACCTCTTTTCAAGTGATTGTAGAGAGCAATTATTTTCCCCCAAACCTCCTTTTCTCCAGGCTAAACACCCCCATCTCCCTCAGCTGCTCCTCATCAGACTTGTGCTCCAGACCCTTCCCCAGCTCTGTTGCCCTTCTCTGGACTCTCTCCAGCACCTCAATGTTTTTCTTGTAGTGAGGGGTCCAGAATTGAACAAAGTACTCAAGGTGCAGCCTCACAAGTGCCTAATTACTGGAATTAATTCCCTTTTTCTCTAAATCTGGAAACAACCTTCAGAACTTTCCTACTTGATATTCCAGTCCTTTGCAGATTGGATTCCGAGTTTTTTTCTTGGACAGGCTTTAAATAAAGTCAAATACTGTAATCCAAAATTTTTTCTTACCTGACTGCATGATGCACGACAGGAGAAAGATGGAGGTGCCCCAAAACTGCCATTCTTCATTGTTCCTCCTCTTTTGTTTCCTCACCAGTCTTGTAATCCACAATAAAACCCTCTATTGAGAACCTTTCTTAGGCAGTTCACAAGTCCACCTCTAAAGTTTGTCTGAAGCTCTGGCTCAAACAGCTAATTAGCAATCTTACCTTTTATAGTCTCCTCTACCCTTTAGTTTGCTAACCCTAATCAGCTTTGCCCATTTGAATTCTCCCCCACATGCTCAATTCCAACTAAGCTGACATTTTGTCAGGCTGGTCAGCTTCTTACCTTCCTTTCAGTTAAGCTTGATAGTTTGATCACACAGTCAAGACACAATTACTCTGCAGGCAAGAACTGCAACCTTTCCACTGTTTACTTTGTCTGAAAAATACCAGAGTTAGAAATGCAGTATTTGAAACTTTTTAGAATGGATAAGATTTTCACATAGTTTAAAAGTGAAAGGCAAGAAAATATTTAAAAAACAAACACGAATTTTCTTGTTATGAACTCATTGTTCAGACAACACGAGTGGCTTTTTCAATTTATTGATTTTATACTTCCATCAAGACTGGCTCAAAGAGGAATACAGCTCTAAAATTTTACTATAGTGGAACTTCTTACTTTCTTATACTCATTTTTAGAGACAGTTTCAACCAGCATAGTACATATGAGGGAAAACAACTAAAGAGATCTGCACAATTTAGTAGCCAGGTTTAGCTTTTTTTATTGATTGTAAATATGAAATAGACTCTAATTGAATTTTTCAACATTTTTAAAGATTAGCAACTCTACTGCTTCCCTAAAATAGCCTCTGGAATCTCAGAAAATATGAGCAAAAAATTTAGAGCAATTGCTCTGCATCATTTCTGCAGAGGAATGTGACTACTGAGACATTCACTATCCTTTATTTGCTAGACAAGGACAGACCTTTTAGACAATTGACTTCATCTATGCAGATTACTGACAAAGGATGTTAAAAGGTCACTCTAAATGGTGTCCCTTCAGGCCATTTGGGCTTGAGTGGTCCTGTCCACAACTTATTTGCTATAGTCCACTGCTTTTAGGTAGATATGAAAAGAGCTTTGTGCAAAGGACATATTAAGACATCTCTGCATGACCTTCCTTTACTTTTTTCAAAGATTTTGGACAGACCTCATCTTTGTGGCAAAGGTCAAATGGGAAACATCTTGAAAAGAGCTACTGAAGCAACAAGGGAATGTGAATCTTTGTGCTCTTCCGCTCTCAGCCATGAAGCTACTGTACCTTATGAGTAACTTCGTGGTTCTTTGATCCTTTGAGATTATTTATTAAAAAATAAGCCTTTGAAAGCCCTCTTTATTTTCAGTTTGAATCATATAATTAAGGGGAAGAGGTGGAAGCACACTTAAAAGGTATTCACTAGAATCACCTTTGTCAGTTGAGGGGAATGGTCTGTATTTACAAGAGATGAAATACAGGTCCCCAAAACATAATCACAGAGAAGGTATTGGTATTTGAAAATGACAGTTGTACTGAAAAACTTCATTTTGAGTAACATTTTATTACAGAAATCTGACAGTTGGGGAGGCTTGATCATTTGTGAAGTTTCTAATATTATATTCTATTCTCTTTCAGGATCCAAGACAAATCATTCCAAGTCTGCCCAGCTTCACAGGTTTTAGTATGATTTTTTATAGTTTAAGATCTTACTGATTTTCTTGACATTCCCTCCTATCAATTCTGTTCCAAAGCAAACAGTTGTGTTTCTGTTACAAAAATTGTTACAATTTTCCTCTCAGTTTCAGAAGAAACCCCCCAACCTCATTGAGATAAGCAAGTCATGATATGTCATACCCAGAGCAATACCACATTTATAGGAAACACACTGTTATTAAAGACACCCAAAAAAGGTCAGCTATGAAAACAAGAAAACAAACATCATTTCCATGTCTAACCTGCTTGAAATGTTTAAGGTAGGAAATGTTCTTAAGCACCTCTCTAAGCAGAGGAAAGCTGCTGCTGTGCTGACCACATGCCCAAGGCTAAGGACATCTTGCAGTCCTTAGCTCATGGACCAGGAGCTCATGGACCAGGCAGAAGTGGCTCTGGAATGGATTTCTAGGTGACAGACTGTCCTCCCACAGCCAAGTACCACCAGTGTGGTTACCAGTTATGGATTAATTTGAAGGTTTAAGTAGAATCAGCAGAGTCATGTTGTGCCAAGTAAGGAACAGATTTAGAAACATCTGTATTAAAGGTACAGGTTTCTTCTGAAATCACATTTCTGTACCTTTCAAACAAAATCTTGGTGTCACATGGAGAACAGGCAGCCATTTCAAAAATAGGGAATAGGCCTTTTTGTAATTTCTGTAACACACAGTGGTGCTTATGATTTCCATTTTGTAACACACAGAGAATATTTAATTGATGTAATGTCAAATTAGAGCTCTGTGAAATTTAGTAATTCTAGAAATATATCGAGAAAATGCATTTATCTCAAAAATCAAGCTGAAAAACCACGATCTGGCTTTCAAGAATCTGCCTGTGTCAATAACTCAAATTCTTTTTCCAGTGTAAAAAGCAAGATGTGCCTATTTAGTGTAATATGACCATAATGTTATCTAACAGAACTCCGTAGAACACATGAAACATTTGTCTTACAGTCCCTAGGTGAACACATTATCATTTTCTTCTTGTCACTCAACACTGAACATGTTAGATAACAACCTATAATAGAATTTAATATAATGGTTTCTCCAGTCAATATTGGAATGAAGACTGAGGTTTTTCTAATGGAATCTGAGTAGCCAAATCCCTTGGGCAGCATGGATGATCATATCAGCCTTAAAATTCAGCCAAGCAAAAAATTGTGTCAACATAATTTTAATATTGGAAAAAGGTTGTTGCATTCACTACCTTAAAATGAAAATTCTCACATAGAAATGTGTATTTAATAGAAGGGTTTTGAGAGAAATATTCTTTCCTCGAGGAATTTTTTTTTTAAAGAGTAATATCTTCCCCATTCACCTAATAACACTTCAAGATTTTCCATCTGCCCTCATTTTCCTATCTTGCTAATAAAAGGAGAAGGGCAAATAAACAAAAAACCCCAACCTAAAATTATTTAATTATTTTGATTTTTCGCCTTTGTCTTTAGAATCATTTAAATGTGAAAAGAAAGGGAGACTTTCATAGAGGCAGGTTAGAGAGGTGGTTTACTGGCTCGCTCAGTACCTACCTCACACCGTTTCTGGATGCACAAAGCAGACAAAGCTCTTCCAGTGCAGGGGAAAACCTGACAGCTTCACATGTGCCCCATCTGTGTATGCTAAAAAAATAGTCCCACCAAGGGTCTTTTTATGGGAGTGGGAATAAAGCTCTTCTGCTACAATTCCCAGCATCAGTTGCCTGAGGCTGCACCAATATTACTCAGGTAGCAACTCCAATATGCAATTAGCTACAAAAAGATTGCTGATCCAGGCATTGACTTCAGGCATCCATGAGTAACCAAACATCCTCTTCACCTCTTTGATCTGGTCCTTAAAAATAAGCAGGTGATGATAGTACAGTCTCACCTATTGTTGCCTTTCCTCATACAACAATCAGTCACTTTAACAGAATTCCATCTGATAGACTTATCCTCAATTTTTCTGGTTCAATTAACTTGTAATAACCCAAACTCTCAAGGCAGCTGAAAACCAGTCAGGAATGATCTTTCATGTACACTAACATCTGATTCTTGGGAAATGAACTGTAATTATTGAAGATAGCTCTCCAGTTGAATCCATATACTGTCAGGAGGCAAATATATATTAAGAAGTTATTTTGAAAGTGCCAGGGACACGGAACCACAAGCATAAATTGATTTATGTGAATTTAAATGTCACTCTGTACAATAGAATTCTCTTTTACTGATACATGTGTAAAAACATCTTACTATCAGTATTTTAATAATGCACAGATGTAGTGGCAGTTGTGACACTTTAAAATTTTAAATTATTCATATTAGTTATTGTGAAAGTAAGCATCTCCCAAAATCAATATGCATTTATATTTGCTTTTCATGTACAATATAGAAAAAATACTGTTTCTATTCTATGATAATAAAAAATACATGCCCTAGTCTATAAATCTCTATTTGTATGTATTTTTGTGGAGATTCCACCTTGAGAGTAGAAAAATATCAACACCCAATTGAAGAAATGGTGTCTTCCTGTAAGACCTTGCAGTATAAATGGGCAAGAAAGACACAGAATGGAAAAAAAGAAAGCTTTGTTATGAACTTCATGATTTGAGGCACTGAGGGAATAAAAGATTTTCCCTATAACACCATGAGAAGCTTCTGACAAAAATAAGAAACAAACCAGAGCTCTTAAAACTGGAACCTTGAGCTCTAACCACATGGCTACAAATGTCTCTAAAATATTAAAGGTTTCATAGGAAACTATGTTGTGAATTAATATGAACAGTTGCTAATATAATTATAGAGTTTATTTGGCATATCTGTCTTCTGAACTCCTGGTCATAACGAAACAGTTCAGGGTGGGGTGACCATCCCAGTTAAGAGAGTATGCAAGTGTATTTCAGATACATCTTTTCAAATCATATGATTTATTTATTTTTTCCCCACAGACTTCCCTGAAGGTAACTTGGTGCTGATGCTTTACTGTTGAATGGTTTTCTGTAAGAGAGAGAACAAAATAGATTCTGGATTGATGAAAAAATAATTTGCTCTGAGCCTGAGTACCACAGGAAACAAGACTGCCTCTTAGCCATTCGAAAGAGCTTTGATTCTGGAGAAAAAAAATTAAATAAAAGAGGAGGATTTTGGAAGGTGGATGTATTCCACAACTGTCAGTTTTGCCACACTGTGGGCTAAAACACGAATAGACACATTTTTTACTAACTTACTGCAAATTAAATGCAGCTGCTAAAACACTGCCTGGCTAATCTTCAGGTATGTTACATTTGAACCACATTGCTGAAATGTTATTCCAAATTAAGTCATGTCTTATGGCCAACACAGAGATCAGTCCAAGCAAAAAACATCACTAAAAAAGTGATGAGTTTTACTAAAATATGAAGATAAGTAAAGGGAATCAGCTACTTTCCCTCTCTTCCCTGTCACATACACACACACAAAAATCAAAACAAAGCACAGAGAAAAACAAAAAAACTACTTCTCTTCAGAAATTGTAATGTAAAAAAAAAAAAAAAAAAGAGAAAATTTTCACAATGCAACACTGGAACAACAAATAAGGGTCTCTAAAGGGCTTTCCCAGAACAGTATCCCCTTTTAAAAAACATCAACTTAAAATAAAACAGGCAGGAGGATCTTTGGGTCACTCGATTACGCCAAGGCTCTCGTCATCTGCATCCTCATACTGTGCTATCCTGCAATTCACCTCTGACTGTTTTCAATTCTCTGGAACAAAAAAAAAATCATCTTAAGTGCCAAGGTCACAGAATCACAGAATATGCCAAGTTGGAAAGGACCTACAAGAATCATTAACTCCAGCTCCTGGCCTTGAACAGGACCATCCCCAACAGTCACACCATGTGCCTGAGAGTGTCATCCAAATGCTTCTTGAACTCTGTCAGGTTTGGTGCTGTGATCACTTTTCCAGGGAGTCTGTTCAGTGCCCAACCACCCTCTGGGGGAAGAACCTCTTTCTAATATCCAACCTAAGCCTTCCCTGTCACAACTTCAGGCCATTCCCTTGGGTCCTTGTCACTGTCACCACAGAGAAGAGATCAGTGCCTGCCCCTTCTCTTCCCCTCAGGGGGAAGTTGTAACTGCAATGAGTCTCGGTCTCCTCCAGGCTGAACAGATCAAGTGCCCTCAGCTGCCTCATACGGCCTCCCTTCAAGGCCCTTCACCATCCTCATGGCCCTCCTTTGGGAGCTCTCTAATGGCTTAATATGACCCAAAACTGCCACAATATTCAAGGTGAGGTTGCCCCAAGGCAGAGCAGAGCAGGACAATCCCCTCCTTCGACCAGCTGATGATGCTTTGCCTGATGACCCCCAGGACATGGTTGGCCCTCCTGGCTGCCAGGGCACTGCTGACTCAGATTCAACTGGCCACTGACCAGGACTCCCAGGACCCTTTCCATGGCACTGCTTTCCACCATCTCATTCCTCAGTCTGCCCATACATCAGGGGCTGCCCCATTCCAGATGCAGAATCTGGCACTTCCCCTTGTTGAACTTCCTATGGTTGGTGACTGCCCAGTCCTCTAATTTGTCAAGGTCTCTCTGCAGGGTCTCCCTGCCTTCAAGGGAGTCAACAGCTCCTCCCAGTTTTGTGTCATCTACAAACTTGCTTAATATCCCTTCCAGTCCTGTGTCCAAGTCATTTATGAAGATGTTGAAGAGCACCAAGTGTGACTTTGTTGGGTAAAGAACTGCAGAAACCAAGTGAGAAACAGCCAGGCAGGGTGGAGCTGGGCAAGCAACAAAATACACAGCCCATTGCTGCAGATGAGCCCCACAGAGCTGTTAAACCAAGTGTCCTCTATAGACAGAATCTAGAGCCAAGTCACAGCTGGGCAAAGTCCCTGTCCAGCTTTCTCCTGACAAATCAGCCAGTTTGCTCCTCAGGCTTTTCCTGGCTTTGTCTGTGTACATCTTGAATCCCCCTGTACAGGCTAAACCAGAGCAAAATTTTATTAGCATGAAATGGAAAGAAAAAAAAGACAGGAAGCATTAAAAGGCTGGGTGTAACCAAACTTAAAATAATCTTTTTTGGTTTAATTACTGTGCTGGTAGAATGCATTACTGTGCATTGTTAGTACGGCGCTGAGAGTATGAAAAAACCTCAAAAGTACACAATAGAAGTGTAGGAGAAGGAGGAATAGAAACCAGATGCTGAAAAAAGGGTACAAGTAAGAGTATAATTTTTGGCACTATACAATTATCCTCCACAGTCTCAAGTCTCACTTGCCTCACCAGGTCAGTGCAATATGATTGTCGCCTATAAAAATCACAGTAATCTTGTTTTTATACATATCTCATTCCTCCAGGTTGTAGCTCTTCTCAGCCAAAATAACTTCTTTCACAGCGTACCACAACAGAGATCGACTCCTCCTACAAGCATCACTACCATTCCCAGTTATTTTATGTTCAGTTTAATTTACAGACTTGTTGGAACAGAAGAACACTAAAACCCAACAGTTTTTCAGTGTTTGGAGCATGTCTGGCTGACACTGTACGAATAATGTAATCTTAAAAGACCATATTTTCCCTGGCTTTTTATGCAGGGACTGAAGGGGTTTCAACTCCTCTTTACACCACTTTTTCACACCAGAATCACAATCCTGCAAATTGCCCACAAATTGCCGCTTGAAGAGAGCATAAAGCATGGTACTTTAACAATAAATTAAGACAACTAACATTTAAAGCCTATATGTTGGCAAACATTTTAGCAGTCATTTTAAAGCATTCAGTTCCTCAGCAAAGCCTCCTGTCATATAAATGAGAGGGGCTTGCAGTGGGGATAGGTTTAATGCTGTCCCCTGATTTAAATGCTTAACTGAAAGATTTATTTGTGAAATAATTTTGGGAAATTTAAGCAGAGCTCATCATAGAACTGTATATGCTTCTGAAGGGTCCAGAAATAGCATTCATAAACCACTGCAGCACACAATCCTGTAAAATTGACTGATGGGCCACGAAGTCTTACAATGAGAAGGAAAAGAAACAAATCTGTTTTGCTATTCAAGATCAGCAAATAATTAAACCATCAGATGTAAGAAAAGTGGTGTCTATCATTGAGAAAATAATCTTAGTCTTCTCTCCTGTTCAAAAGTTGGCATAAAATACCTATAGATATTTGCCAATTAGCAGATATAATCTACCCTCATATGGCCAATGCATTTTCATGATTAACTAAAATTCCTAATACCAGCATACAGTGCTAGAGAATGCATACAGCATATTTTAATCAAAGTCTAAGGCAGGCTGATAATGGTCCTTAATTTTTATAAGCAGTCTTAAGACATTTAATAAAACCTCTTATTTTTCATAGAACCATTCAATGGATTTAACACATTAACCTAATTTGCATGTTAACCAGCTCCAGTAAAAGAAACTGTGGAATCTGACATTGTTATAACACCAGCCTTGTCCATGTCTCTCCAAACATTTCTCCTTCTCTTTCATAAAAACAAGAGATTTTGTCATTTTTTTGCCTACTCTCCTTTTACAGCTCTAGTCCTAGCACAAAACTTTGAGATTTCCCATATAAAAGTTCACCTTTTATCCTTACTATTTTTACTTTTTGTCTCACATGGTCTTCTAATGAATACCTGGACTCCCTGACTTCTTTTTTTCTCCAGTCTCTTGTGATTATACACCTGAAAAGCCTTTTGAAATATAAACAAGTTATACAGTCAGGATGCTTTTCTCATCCACTGCTGTATGGATTCTTCCACATACACTAGTAAATAGTGCAGCATGATTTTCCTTAGTGGAACCTGTGGTAATACATCAAGATTAAGGAAATGGTTTTGAAAAATGTTCATATACATCTCAGTTCATGAAAAAGGTGGGTTTTGACTATATAGGAGACATGCACTAAACTGGATTTAATTTCTGTATATGCTAAAAAGCCCATTAAAATATAGAAATTAAAACCTCCTAAACAGATGGAATTCCCACTTACTGTCCCACATATGGGTCATAGGTATCTGCATATGTATGTCGAAGTGTATCCCATTTTGTTTAGCCATGATTCCTCTTGCAAGATGAGAATTTATTACAGAAAAATACATGCTCTCAGACTGACTATAATTTTTAACCAGTGTCATAAGCTACTGCTTCTTCTTTGGTTGAAGAAAGGAAAGTTGCTTTTGGCAGTTGTTCTTAATTCCTGCTTTATGGAGGCCCAGTATCCTAAACAGCAAAGGCTTTTCTTCTTCCTCCTTTGATTACAGGGTAAACTCTATTACATCCATATTTGCATCTTCTCCCCTAGCCCGTATCAAATGTTACAGCTTAAAAACATCTCTGACAGAGTTCTGGACTCTCAGCCTTCTCAAGTGAATTATTAATCAACTATTCTTTTGTGGAAGGAGGAGGCATTTTGCTGTTTGACATCTGGCAGTCATTTAAAACACTAGCAACTCCTCATTCAGAACAGGACACATATCTGATTTGCTTTCAGTGTTTTTTGGGTCTAAATGCCACCCCAATGCTACTCTTGGCAAAAAAAAAATAAAAAAAAAAAAATTAAAATAAAAAAAGTCTGTTGGGTGGAGCTTGATTCCAACTGCTAGATTTTCACTATACCTTGTACTATACCAGATCCTTAAGAACTATCTAATGTGCAAAATCTGTTGTTTATACAGATCTGCAGCTGGCTCTGTCCCAGTTGCTCGAGAGTGATATTTAAACATAAAATAATCTCTGTATAAACTGTGGGTCTGTAAAATATGTAAGCACTCTGTGTTTGTTCAGCCCAGGTCGCTTGCTGAAAATGAAGGTTATTCCTGGGTGATAACAATCAGATGTCAGTTCAGCGGGGAATCCAAATTCTTCCAAAGTTTAATTATGCTCAAGTGACAAGGACATGAGATGGGGACAGGTTGGGTAGAATTTTAAAGAATACCATCAGCACATGCAAAAACTTACCCATGGTAGCTGCACTTCCGTGAATTCTGTGTAAGTAAAGTCAAGTAAAGTAAACAACTTTTAAATACACACCTAATTATGCGATTGCACCCTTTGGATCATTAGAGCTGCAATCAGGAACAATGCTTCTTTTCTGCTTCCACAGAGTGGTGATCCTGCTGTAATGATTAACTGCTGCTGAAGGATAACACAAGGAAAGGTTAAAACATTTTTTAAAAAACTTAGACAGTGAAATACATGTGACTGTTGAATGACACAACTTGTCACGTTAAGGGTCTTGTCCTCTGAAATGTAAGTAAAACAGTACATTTCAGTTCTGGTACAACTTTAAAAAACTATTTGGGGTATTGGAGGTTAATCTTAGGGCAGAAGAAACATTAGTTGCACTAAGGTTTAAAAAAGCATCTTTTTATGTTAGAAGAGGTTACCATGGGACAGTTAAACAAAACAGTACCTGAAAAAACTTATAGATATGGCCTGGTTTTAATGTCTGTTTTATAGGAAAACCAACCAGGAAGATCAGTAGATAATTTTTGGCAAAATTATTATTTTAGGCTTTTCAATGCTTTCAATCTGATATAGCTGTAAATATAGACCTCCTACTTCAGCTACACAGATTACCACTTACTAGAGCACATTCCCCGCTGTTAATACAGTTCAGTGATCAAAAATGGCACATACAGTTTGGTAAAATTAATCCTTTCCTTTCTGATCCTTTCCCATAATCTTCTGCAAACTCCAGAGACCAGGATCTCTTCTTATTTAGATGCCACTGTATAAAATACAGGGACCTGTTTCCTTAGGACATATCCCATAAATGAACCCATCAACAAACAGCACCCTGCAGTGGAATAACTCCCCACGTGCTGAGCTCCGATACAAAATTTGTCCTTCCTCCCAGTTACCCTGGGACTGGTACCTTCCCCTCAAAGCCTTTCCCTCTAAAACCATCACCTGCCATGGAGTATGTCCACCTCAGCAATGAAAATGCTGGGTGACATTGGGGCAGCTGAGACTTACCAGCATGATCTTGCAGAAGTTTAACATATACTCTTAAATTCATTCATGTAACAAAAAAGTGAGAGCCCTTGAAATTTGTCACTTTTTGAATCTTCAAAGTTTCTTTCTTTTTACGAGTTGAATATAGAGTAGATCAGGGTATACCCTCTTAATGGAGACCCTCAACTTAATTTGTGCCAATCTTCTCTTTCAAATCCCATCACTTCAAGCCTTTTGGTGTCTGTTCTGAACTCAAATTCTTTTACATTAAATTATTGCAAAATACTCTTTCTGTGTTATAAGACTACTTGGAATCCATGTGATTTAGCCAAAACCACAGAACCTGTTGGGTCACTGGTATTAAGGTTCAGGTGTGGGGATGTGTTTTCCCTGTTAGAGAGTTGGAAGCGAGGTCGGGATGTGCTCTCCACAGTGAATGTGGATTGGGTAATGTGGGCAATGTGCTGTGAAACCCCTCCAGCCTCATTGTTCCTACGAGCTTTTAGTCACCCCTTGTCCTGTGATTGCATGAGGGCTCTATTAAATTCTGTGGTAACGCAATGCACTTGCATGTTTTTCTATAGCAGTAATAAACAATATTGGTTGCCTTTACTATTGAAACTAGTTTCCTAGACTGTGCTTTTGAAAGGATATCTACGGTGCCCAATGGCCTCATTCCACTAGCTCACCTGCATCCATATTTGCAAACATTTGGGATAAGATACTGATCTCTCTTCCACCTATGTTCTCCCTACCTGCTGGAGTGATTTACTCTTGAGTAAGCAGGAAGCTGAAATGACCCAATTTTTGTTTCCATTTCCCAGTTAGGTTCAGAGTTAAGGTTACTTGAGTGACAATATTTGTACCACATCATAAGCGTAACCATTTTTTTTTCCCCCAAAGAGTGTTCAGGTTTGCATTTATTGGATTTGAAATACTACAGCCTTCCTCCAAGGATTCATGCAGGGGGTAGAAAAAGGCAATCAATAAATTGTGTCAAAAGAAAAAATGGAGGGGAAAAATATGTCTTCACTAACCTAGGGAATTTTGGGATCAATTAGATTGTTTCTTTGTGAATAAGAGATTCAAGATTACAGTTGAGTTCCCTCTTTGGGAATTTCTAATAATCTCAAGTGGCTGTGGTTTATTCTGAGTTTTTAGTTCACCTTCTGAGCCAGCAGCTGGCACAATTTCAAACAACAGAAGCACAGAACTCTTGAATAAAAATACAAGATTGACCATGGTAATCAGCACATTGCAAATACAATTAGAGTTCAGCACTTGGATCAGAGAGAGACATGGCATCCTGTCATGGCAAACGTGCCTGTTGGGACAGCTGCTGCACCTGACAGCCTCTGCCTTGCCAGCTCATGTCTGCCTCTTGTCCTCTACAACCCACGAGCCCAATCCCACTTGCTGCCCTTGATATTGTGATCTGTGCCTGTTGAGAGGGGGCCAGACCATCTGCACCAGTTCTGCAGGCTGCATTTTCAGAAGTGCTCTGCCCTCACAATGGAGTCCTGATTTTTCCAGAGAGTCTGGCACCATCTTACTGCAGTGTACCAAATTTTCAGAAGTGCTTGGCCATCAGTAGTTCCTGTTGACATTAAGCCTGCCTATGTGTTTATCTACAGCTGTTGCCTCTTTTGCGGGTCCTTTAAGCATCTCCTTTCCTGGTGCCTGTGTCAGCACAATGACCTACCCCATTGTCAGGCACATCTTTAGGATGTGAGGTCACACGATAGGGGAGAAATCACAGTCCCAGCCAGCTGGTGGGGTCTGTACTGCCTTGCTGGGGTTCTGCCAGCAAATGTGGCACAGACACAGCTGCAGAGCAGTTCCATCGGCTCTTTCACAGAGTCCTGTCGCTTTGGGTGGAAGGTTCCAGGACTTTCCTCCTGGTGCTCTAAAATAAATGAGACAGACCTCTGGATAGGAGGAGAGGAAAAATGCGAGGTTGAATTCCTATATGTGAATCACAGGCTTAGCATTTCACATGTACGTGTGGGTCTGTAAACAGCAGAGACACGAGCAGTTAAACAGTGACTGCCTCTAACCAGTTGCACCTTTGCTCTTTACAGGAAGACTTGATGACATTTTGAAAATGGGTACTGACCTTGAGATGAGGTTCAAAACAAATTGTCCACATTTATCTTCTCTTTGGAATGCTCCATGGAGACTTTCCTCAAGCCTGTACCATGGATGTAGCACAGAGCTCTCCCCAGATTTCTGAATATTGCTCAGATAAAGCCGGCTTTTCCAGAAATCAGTCTGGATGGAAACTGTATGTGCAGATATAGAACAAAATATTCTTGTTTTGTAAACACTTTCCCTGTATCTGTTAGGTTGCCACCTATCTAAACAGAAGCACAAGAAAGCAAAGCCAAATTCCCTACTTCTCGTAGGTTGAATGGACATAGGCCACTCACATAATTATTTAGAGAAAATATTTTCCTTATAAATGTGCCCCTCATAATTTCAGAAAAATGAATCTCATTCCCTTTAAACTGCAATTAGCATTGGCGTGATACAGCAGGCATAATGATGATTTGCTTTCATGCCTTTTCAGAATGCACTGTAATTTGGAAAATGCCAGGCTAACTCATAAGAAACAGAGAGAAAGCATAGATCCACTCTGAAGGGTGGACTAGGAAGGGGTGGATATGCAGGTAAATCTATGGTAACTTGCCACTGCAATAACCAAGTTGGGCTGGAGGACACAAAGTCTGCTGAGGGACAGACTTTTAGTTTAGTATTTAGAAATACTAGACTACAAGATACAAACAACAACAGATCACTGGGTCATCTCAAAAAATCTAAACCAATTTTGTCTTCTAAAAAGCCATTTAGTTGCCTTCATGTGTGCATTGTCAAAGGTTATCCTTTTATACAATGAGTAAAAGGATCCTTTTTAAAATGATTAATCTGACAGTGTCATTTTTAACTTTCATAACATCCCATGCTGTTATGACAAACAGTGCACAGTTGAAATTAAAGGAACGTCTGTATCAAAGTATTCCACACACAAAGAATACAGAGCCCAGCATGGAATAACTAATGGCCCAAACTACAGCAACAGTATTTTTTTAGAGTTCTTCAAACTGAGAAGCATTCAAATTTATCAAGCTGTGATCCAAACCTTTTCTATGCACACAGTGTCCCTCTGTCTGTCTTAATACTCAATTCTTTTCTAAGCACATCACACAGCAACAGGGAGGTGGTTTTTTAAGGGCTCCCCATTCAGCACCATCAAAATATGGCTTCAGAAATGCCTTTACTTGTAGCATGTATTTGCTGATGATTTTTTGAATGGGCAACTAATAAATGGTGCAGATTGAAAAGCAATTATAGAGGATGGTCCTTTAAGGATGGTGTGCTTGAAATTAGTCATCAGTTCGAAGGGAACTTTGAGGGGTAGGTATCTTTCAGTGTGGATTATAAAGGATAGCAAGCAGGAACCTGAGTAATGTAATCCACACTTCCCACATGTGCAGTTCTGAAGGGTTATTCAAACCCCACTGAAATCAGTGCAAAGCTGCAGCTTCACAAAACTGTAAGGAAACCCTTTCTTCTCTCCTTGCGACACTTATGTGAGGTCACTAGAGAATTGCTCAGATGATCACTGCTTACAGGATCTGGGGCATTGTTGTTACTAATGGTCCCTGGCACGATATTTCTGTGGTGCCAATGGCCAAGCAGTTTCTTGGGGTGGCTGAGCAGGATTACTCAACTTGTGATCTTCTACAGGCATTCAAATACATTAATTACATGACTCAGTCCTGACTGTCTCTGGTTAGATAACAATCATTTCCTATATTATATGAGGAATCCAGCAAAATAAGATGCTCCATCAATCTTTACTATTTGCATCATAACTTTTGCCCAGTTTTACTAATCTTCTGCAGCATAGTTGTGGCATCAGAAAGATCTTACTACTATATATGCCAATTCTATTTCATGTGAGGGCCTATTTCTTACTCTGACTAGCAGCAATTTAGTGGAAAAAAATCACAGAGCCACAGCACTACCAGACGTGTCAAATGAAACACATTTTTAGCTGTTCAATCATAGTATCTTTTCTCCTCAGCATTAAAAAGAGCAAAAGGAGTAATAAAGTTTTGCAAACGCTAGTATAAGAGAGAGGGGACTTAAAGAAAATGGGTTTAGTTATATTTTATGAAAACGTAAAACACCAATATTCTGCTTCCATACTTGTTTTTATAACCAGTTCCATGAAAACAGAATCAGGAAATGAAGTTACGGATTCCAAGAGAGAAAGTGGCAAATAGACTCAAACTGCAGATAATTTCTTCCATGATTAATTTTTCTTCATTTCCCATCTCCCAGACAACCATTCTTTTTATGGTGGAAATCATTCCAATGTAGGTCAAAGAGATCACAGACTATGGCACTATGACTTACAAAAAGAAGGAAATATTAATTGCCTTGTTAACATACTATTTCCAGAAATACAGGTTCCATTTCCACTACAGCATTAAAGCAACAATTGTCAAAATTGTTTTCATATTGTCCTGATGTTCCGGTACAGACTGGTTTAACTAGCAAATAAAAATTACTTTTAAAGAAGCTGCACTGATCCATGTGACATAGAGTGGTGCCCTACCAGCATCTCACTCCAGACAGGCAGCAACAGTTAACTACTAGAAAGTATTTCAGAAGTTTTTAGAAGTGTTTTAGAGTCCCAAAAAAAAATCTAACTGGGGAAAAATAATCCATTGTTTGAGTTTTTAAAGACAATGACATTTCAGACAAAATGAGTAAGTATAAGGCTGACTGATGACTTCTAAGAACTTATGCAACCTGAGGAAAACAGGTGAGCTTAGGGGACCTTAGGATGCAAGGATGTACTAAAGAGGTGGACAAGACAGTCAGAAATTTTATGTTACTGGAGACAACAAGAGACTACTTGCTCTTCCTATATGTTACAGGCAAAGCCATAGACTGATTTTCAGCCAGAAACTCCTCCCCACAGTGGCCTACCAGCATTTGGAGTTGCTCTTCTCTGGATCCAATGTACCCTCTATTCTTTCCAGTTACAGGAACAGAATTAAATTTACCCCTGTACCAGCAGAAGAAAGGATGATTATTTTCTTTCACAAGTAGTGATGCCTTGGAAAGGAAGGCTGGATATTCAGCACACTGGAAGCCATCCAGGAGGACATCTCCTGAGGCTAAAGCAATTATGATTCCATTTTGGTTGGCTGTGGAAGCATGAGTTATCATCTAACTCTGAGGATTGCTAGGCAAAGGTTAAAATCCTAAGTCTGTAGATCACTGGGTACCTCAGACTCTGTTTTGCTAAGTGAATTTGTGTATGACTAGTTAGAAAAGAGGGATAGTCCCGACACTGATGATTCTGCAATCAGGGCAAGGGTTGGGAGTGCAAACACACAATCTTAGGCTCTGACACAGAAAACAGCTGCACGAGGACATACCTCTGCATTTCTGCAGAGCAGCTTGCTGAATCAAAGCTGAGGTAGTTTATTTCATGGATTATACATGTATTTAATTAAAATTCTAGATAAATATTTGTAGCAATATGCTTTTGAAGTACCACAAAGTTACATTGTATTAAACATTTATTGCAATCGTATGAAATATTCCTTAGGTTAAATATTTACTGTTATTTGCAAGATATTGGTATTGAGCTTATAATAAACATGGCACAAATGCAAAGCCATCTTTCTCAGAGCAATATACTTCTCTGAGTTGCTTTTAGACTTATTTCTTGATGGATATTTGCCATTAATGCACTATGACTTTTTCGTTTATGAGAAAAGGCTCCAGCTCAAGCTAAGAGAAAGTTGTAATTTAAAAGACAGTTTCCACTATGCTCAGCATTCTCATAGTAATAACAGTTTGTCCTTTTTCTTACTGCAGATACTGTATTAAATATTTATATTGATGTTTATTTTGTAAACAAAGAAACTGAATTAGGCTAACACACGATGCTATGATGTGTTTTAATATTTGTATTTGGTTTATGTTGTGGCCTTTTATGCAATTGATTCAAGGGACCATGTTAAATAATAAGTAGCATTTTTAAAATTACATGAAATTATTTTAGTTTATTTGCTGGAGAAGATCAATGTTTTAAAAAATAAAAATCAGAAGTACTTACTGCAGAGAATATCCAGTCCCTAACTATTTTATATGCAGTAAAGGTAGTGAAATTACCAGGAAGTGTTTGGCTTTCTTGAAGACAGCATGATTGTCACAGTGTCCTTTGGAATTTGACCTAAAAGCCTCAACACATTAGGACTAGAGAAAGCAAAAGGCTTTTGGTCTTGCATTTTGGTGGTATTTTCTTCCTGATCAATAATTGAACAGTCCAACCAACTTGAAGGTGCTATATGTAGGACAAACATTCACATTTATTTAGTTCATTATATTTCCCATGTTATCTTGGGATTTCTAGAAAGTTTGTTTCCTATATAACACTTCTACTGCTTGTAACTGCACAAAACAGTGTATTCTGCCTGGGAAGCACCCAGGCTGTGTGCTAGAGGTGGGTATTAAGGAAGAATATTCACCTTTCCAGTTTTATAACCCTGGAACTTGTACATATCAGTTTATTTTGCACAGTGGGGTATCACCCTGATAGAGGTAACTCCTCTGCATCCCTTTAACTTTGGTACTAACACAGTCACCACTTCACAAGGCCTTATAAAATGTCTGGCCTTTCTTAATCCTTATGTTAAACCAAGAGCACTTAGAAGGCATCTTGCTGCCAGTTTTCTCAGTCAACCCTTTAGTGCAGGTCGAAAGGTTGGGGTTTTTTTCTTGATTATCTGAGGAATCTGACACTAAAAAGGCAAAGGAAATAAAAAATCAACCAAAATAAGTAATAAGGACAAACTGAGGAACTGAAGCATTTATTATTCTTCAGATAAGGTCAGTAAAGACTATCAATGCACCAACTGTTATCAGAGAAAAGGTGCTTGCGTTTTCCTGTCTAGTTAAAGCTGTCAGTGGTCATGACACAAAGCACATTCCTCAAGCTCAGTTATCAAGACAACTCAGATAGACTTGTATATTTTTATGTTCCTGCTTTAGTGTGATAGTGGTCTTTTGCTGCACATTCTTTAGATTTTACATACATCTATTGTAAGTGTCAAACATTAGTTTAGTGTTCTTAGATCTGTGTTCCTTCTCTTTTCAATCTGATGCTTAGTGAAGTATTGAGGCAACTGCAGTTACATGTTTCTCCAAAGCTCACTTGAAAGAGGAAAATTAAACTTTAAAGATGTATCAGA